CTACTACCACTCATACGTTGCCTCTGCTTCCCGTAAATCACTGGCATCCAACCACCGCCACTCCTCTCTCAAACTCTCTCCATTTAAGTAACTTTTTAAATTTTTTCTGTAAGAGTTGAACCCGTAACCTCACACTATAAAATGATTAGTTTGATGATTTGAAGAACCAACCCACTTAAAAATCAACCCGACCCAATCTAAAGAAGTTGGTTTGGTTTGGTCCTTCCGTTCGCTGGATAATTTGAACATGCCCAATTTGAATGATATGTATTTTGATTTAAAAAATAATATTAATAGAGGACTACTATATATAGGTCCCTATTTTTTTTCCTCAAACTTTTTTATATCACTAGATTATATGACATGATATTATTTTCTTTCACTAATTGCTTAATAATTTTTAACAAACAAGCAACTAGTTAGAAGTACCATGTAAGAAATGATATAAAACAGTGACAAAAAATCAATGATATGTAACATTTCTCCAAAAATATATTAGGTATCTTTTAATTAATTAATTAGTGAGGGGAAGTCATGGGTATCCTATTTTATAGGACATGGGTAGTTGATGAGTCTGAAACAATCTTTGGTATAAAAACAAAAACAATATTAATGAATGAAGATGGAGATTGCTTATTTGAAAAGTGTTCCATTGTGAAGTGTATGAGGTTGGGTTCTCTTCAAAAAGGACCAATTAGAGATCTTCAAGTATTTCTTCTCTAACTTTTGGTAATAAAAAGTGATCGTATTATAATCTCATCCAAAAAAAATATATAATAAAAATATTAAATAAGTCTGATAACAAGTAACAAGGAACAAAGTTATTATTGTGTTTCTCGCAAAAACACAAATTAAAATAGCACTAATCATAATTATTATAAGAAAAAGCATGTAATAAATACTAATGTACAAACAAACACTGTAATGCCCTCAAAATAATATAATATAAACCCATATTCTCGACATGCATGGACATAAGAGGATAAAGCATATTTCTATTAATCAGAGTATTCATTACAAAAGTATTACATGTTGACATCAAAAGTAAATCACTTGGTTACAAAGAAGAGAGTATTAACTCAAAATATAAAATAAGCCCTTGGCTTAATTTACATGTAACACACAAAATAATCACAAAAAGGAAGCCTTCAGTTTCGACAACCTCCCAAGTTACATCCTTGGAGGCGGCATATCACCTGGACCTAAAAATGATGTCCCATATAGGGTGAGCCAACGCCCAGTAGAGATATGCTAAACATAATATGAGCAATAACTAAAACATTAGCATTTTGATAAATGTTTAACTCATATAAACCAACATATAGCACAATCCAAATCCATGACAAGTATGTCCATGATCCTTTCCAATATCAACAATTTAAATGAGATTATAACTCATAATAAAACACTTCCATACTTCACAATTCACATGAGATAACAACTCATATTGAAATACTTCATACTTCATAAATGATACACAGATTTGCCGTATCAATGGAGTCCATCCCTTATCTCCTCCCAAATAAAATCCAGTTTAAGAGTCCATCCCCTATCTCCTCCCAAACCGTGGAGTACATCCCCTATCTCCTCTCACACAATACAACGTATATAAACAATTATCATATACACGATCAACCAATATACAAATTTGATGTATTATTCCAACTGTCATATTCAATGACATATTCAACTGATTAGTTTTAATTCACCTAATTATCATGCAGTGTCTACAACAATCAATAAGCTCATTTTAAGACCCAAGATATACATATATTGGTCAAAATAGCAAACCCCTCTTTATTCAAGTTGAAACCCTAACACCCAAAATCACCCAACTTCAACATTAAATCAAAATGACCAAAAGTTTATGTCAAAGATCATAAAAATGAGTAGTTATCCCTACCTCAAATGGAGAGACCAAATGGAGAAGATGAAGGATTTCGAAGGTGCTCCAAACCCAATAATTTTCGAATCAAAATGAAGAGCAAGCCAAACCCCACACTTTATATAAAGGGACCAAGGTAGAAGATCACTTGATCTAGATGATTTTATAGAGAAGTTGTAGTCTAGAGTGAGAAGCTCTCAAGTTATTCATTCAATGAACTTCATTAAATAGATTAATGTATCTCATACATTCATGATACATAATGTATCTTCTATATTAATGAATTCATTAGATAGATTAATGTATCTTACATATTCATAATAGATACATAATGCATCTCTAAGATTCATTCATAATGAATCCATCACATTCAATGTATTAGCATTAGTCATCTATACATTGTATATGTAGGTGCATTCATCAATAATTAGTCACCATCAAATTAATGTACATGTATCTTACTAATGAGATGAATCTAGTATAATCATGCATAAGTTTTGAAAAGTTAAAGAGAGAGAATGGCCCAAAAAAGTGATCCAAAAAGCTATTTTTCGGACTGATATACAAACAGATCCGCTCAAGCGTCAAAAGCCCCGCTCAAGCATGAAGCCCAAAATCTGGACATCAACCATTGGTTTCCAAGCACAACCAACCTGTTTCAAGCCTGCCCAACACGACCCAAGACTCATATACAAAGAGTAAAGGATGGAAACGGGAATAAGACAACAACACATCCACGGAACCGAGTCTGGAATACAATTAAACAATGAAGGGAAAATCAGAATCGCTATAAACACACTAAAAAAAAAAGTAGAAGGGGTTACACGTACCCCTGCTCACACAAATCTTGATGATACCTAGAGAACAAATAGAAGAAAAATACCAGGAGAGACATCAAAACAAATTGGCACTTAGGAATTAATACAAATTTAGTAGTGAAATTTTGTCGGCCTACTTTTTCTTTATTTATGGGATGAGTGAGGGGAGATAGTGTAGTATGTCCGGAGAAAAGCCAAGACAAATAGACAAGTTGCAGCGACAAAAGCAATGGCTGTCCATGGTCCGCTAAAATATTTGTTAATAAATTCGGCGATCCAAGTCTTCGCGGTGCTGTTATAGTGATCCTAAATCCTCTGCATGACATCCATGTATATGTTAGTCCTACATCCAAAAGTGGTCATCTCTTTGAAAACATTAGCCACTTCTTGATAGTATATGCTTTGACCGCAACTCTTTCACATCATCCTGGCTATTAATCAGTGATTTCATGAAATCGATGTAATAGGTAATGACAAGGCCCTCAACTCTAGGGCATGAAACCATTTCATAAGCAAGCATGTTTGAGTAAAATAGTTTGGTCCCTACAGTAACTATGAAATGATGAAGTTCAAGACGTCCATAGAAGCAATAAGATTTGGACTCAACAGCCTCAAGAGATAAAGAACTGTTAAGCGTAAAGTATGTCCCTTTTGCTTTGAGCTCAGTAACTGGACGAAATGAGTGAACATATTCCATCAGGCTATACTTAGGTTTGGAATATTTGTGTTTCCTAACAAAACGAAATATCTTGAGAAAATAGTACCGAATGTAATGTTGGAACAATCTTCTGTGTAAATAAAATAAATCGAAACAAAAAAAAAACAAATAAATAAATAATGTACCGAATTTATTTATCCAACCGAAATAAAAATTAAAAGACCAAGTCGATCGTGTGACACTCTGTCCTTAAGACAGATTCACCCCACTACGGTTCTTACAGTAAAGTGGCATCCATCTCCCAAGATACAATGATCTTCACAAATTTGTAGTAGCACTCCAAACAAATTTGTCTGGCGAACTAAAACCTTGTGTTCTATACTCTCTATAAAAATTCTAAAAAACTAATATGAAGAATATATGCAATAGTGCATAAATTAGGACAGCAAACATTGAATTTTCAGACTGTTTTTTTGGATGATTGAACATTGCTGGAAATGTTGCTATTTATAGGCAAATGCTGCTGTCCGAACAGGTTCAACATTTGAATGAACAGATGTGAATACTGTTTGAACAGATGTCATTCAAAATTTAAACAAATTTGCAACAAAACTGTCCAGATTTTGAATGTGACTGGACAGTTATGAATCTGTCTGGTTTTGAACAGTTTTGAAAAACTGTGTGGACTAAAAAATCATTTCGGTTCAAATTGGTTTGTTTGGACCAAATTTTAATTCAAATTTGAATTAAATTTCCGCCATAATTTTTGGGAAAAATTTAAATAAATTTCGTTCAAAAAATTAATACAAGAACCGACCCGAACCACACCCGGCACAGCACTGCCGGACGGCGGCGCGCGTGTGGTGGTTTGGGCTAAGGTTCACTTTGTTTTATTTCTTGGAGCTTTTCTACCTGGTGTTCTACTTTTAGTTTTTCTTTCAGTTTGGCTGCTCTGTTGTTGTCTTTCCTCTTGCTCTCTCTTTTGTTGGTTCCTCACCAACTGGAGCTTGGAGCTAGCTCCTTTTTATTAATGAAATCTTTCATATCCTGTATGTTGTCATCAATAAAGATTTTCTTTGCCGATAAAAAAAAAAGGTTCACTTGTGAATAACTCCTACCTTCTACAAATTTGGGGTACCCCTTGGGGTCCAACCCAAGTGTTGTAGTCTAGAGCTTATATACACGAAAAAGCTCTCTTAAAGTTTCAATGTGGGACAACCCATTTTAAGGAAACCCACATTTAACTCTTTAAATGTCCATTTCACGAACCCGAAAACGACGTCAAGTTCTCATTCACTCATGAATGGTTTTGACGAACCGTCTTCACCGTGTGACTTGCCATGCGACAAAGAACACGTCACCTCTTCGGACCCACCCCAAAAGACATTTAAGGCCCACTCAATTTTGAGCTCAAAGACAGCCCAAAATATGCCTTATAAAGCCAATTTTTTCCAACATGTAATTCCTAAGGCGCTCCGTACATTGGAATTTGTCTTTCTCCTTCTTTGTGCTCATTTGAGATTCGAGTGCGTGAAGGGGTTTGTTGAGATTAAGATACTTTTCCTGCACCAATTGAACTAGATGAAACGATTTCCTGTCAGTTTCATTGACATTAACTTTCTCCTTATTCTGAAGATATCTAGAGTCCATAGAAATCAAAAAAATTCAATAACTTGTTGATGGATTCCATCCCCTCATCTTCTTTGAATTTTAAGCTCATTAGCAACTCAAGAACTTGAAATGGGAGTTGATTCTCAAGCAAGTAAAATATATGGTCAAATGTTGAAAACCAAAATAAAAGGCCTAGATGATCTCTAACATCATCATATTTTGATTTTTGATTGTCAACATAGGGGAAGAAGTCCTCAATTATAGCTAGAATGAAACAACCATCCAAGAGTATCATTGTTGCAAATTGCTCACGATTGTATTTATTGGTTGAACGTTTAACATAGCAGCTTCTAGCATCATCAACAACCTTTTCAAGAATTATGCTGTAGACCTCATCCATGGTCTTACCGCTGTCTTGTAGAAACAGTGTTGCTGGCATAGGCTTGACGTTCTCTACAAGCTGGAGATCATCTTTGCCATGGTGGTATGGACCTATAGAAACCAACTTTGGATCAAACATTCCCTTGTTATTTATATGGTTTCTCATCACCGGTGGAGCTCTCGGTATTCGAGGTGTGAACAACTCTTGTACCTTGCTGATCGTTTCACTTTCACTTACACTACAAGAATTTACACAATTGCCGACCACTTTTGCCGACCAAAAAAATTTTGGTCGCAAAAAAATGACATTTGGCGACCAAATATTAATTAGTCGCGAATGATCATTTTTTTTGGCGACCAAATATTATTGGTCGCAGAAGGTTATATTTTGGCGACCAAAAAATAAGTTGGTCGCAGAAAGTGGTATGCTTTTGCCGACCAACTACAAATTTGGTCGCGGAAGGTCACATTTTGGCGACCAAAAATGAGTTAGTCGCA